AAGGACTTTCTAAAAAAATTCAAAAGGGAAATTAGGCTTGTACAGTTCCCTCTGCAGTGTCAATACCCGCATAGGAATCTCCGATCGAACAGAAGTATTCTGATCGATTCGGTGCAAATACCCACAAATTATTGTGCTTTTCTGCCGTTTGCACCCCCATGACAGATAAGACTTACCATTCTTATGGACTAGCGGATCACTGGTCCAAGTACAATCCTCATTTTTTGACATCTGCACGCAGCCCAGTATAGGGTAGCTCTGTCGAGCTACGACTTTGCAACCCAAAAATTTGGTAGTCTCATTCCCGTCATCGGTTTGCTCCAGCACCAAGCCCTCAGGGTAGCAATTACGAAAAACTTGTAGTAGCATATCACGATTGTCCTCCTTTTTCCAAGCCAGAGCGAGGAGGACATCGTCCATCAAACGTGTAGCGAAGAGATGGCTTGCCCGACGCCCCAGATTCCCCATAAAACGATACTCCGCATAAACTCAAAGGACACAAGTCAGCGGTGGGCTAGTGCTTTTCCCCATGGGAATGCCCACCGCCTGCTTCAATAGAACACTTGTAACGAAGAAATAAGTATTTCGTAGATCTATCCTGATGAAAGATCTTATGTCCTGCAGTTCTAACATAGCTCAATGGTCAGCTCCAGTGGTCAAACCGAAGCTAGCTCCTCTCCCTCGGGTATTCACCCGAATCATTGTCCGATTCCTGGACACGTGCCAATCGACCAACCAATTCACTGCATCTATGATCGCCGAGTGGGGCAACTTTATAAACATTTCTTTAATATTGAAAGAGTACATAGATAAATTATGATCGCTCCCCAGGCCTCCCAACTTTCGATTTCCCCGCTCTAGTGAAGTAACCAGGTCAGACACCAATCGTAGATCAATCGTAGATTGAAGTGTCAGTTTCTTGGAACAGTGTATAGCAGATGATTCAAAGCCCTAGACACCAGTTTGCATGTGCGAGTTAAAGGGTCCGAAAATGATGGACAAATAGGCCAAAAACGACCCAAGTCCTTGTGCTTTGGGATAGCGTAAGCATTCCCAAAGCTTCCCTTCACATCAACCCGAGCAAACTTCGTCAAATTATGTGCAGACACATCTTCCACCATCTCCCGGACTACGCATGATACCGGTTCCTTCACCACCCTGTATCCCGGATTCAATACAAACAGATTTAGCATAGCAGAATAGTACAGTTGAGGACACATCACAACAGTTTCACTGGAATTTCGGTCAACAGGTGTTACCACCAAATCTTCGAACCTCTGCTTCCAGAGTTCGACTTCTGCTATCGACACAGAATTTCCCCAATGTGGGACCACATCCCCGTCCCTTACACAGTTTTTGATACAATCTCAGCCAAAAGAAGGTGGATTGCTCCGACGGTTCACATAGTCGAAAGATAGCATGGCCTTCTCTTCTATGATAAGGCAAACCCGTACAGGTACAGGTAAGCACATTGCGCTTCGAGAACAAACGTTGGCTATGCAATACATCAACGATTGTGGGATTTTTTGTCCTACGATACACATCTTCTTTCGAGCCCTATGCAAAAAGCAGGCAGGTAAGTCACATTTCATGAGTGCATCATTCGCCACTTTCCGGACCTCGCTAATCCGAATTCTATCGTCAAATTGAATTCTAAAATTCAAATCTGTAGCAAAACTTAATCCAAAACTTCCACGAATTTGATGAGAAATTAACCGCCTCAAGTACTTTCATGTCGATTTACTCGAAAAAATTTTAATCACATTATAAATCCAAAGGTAGGATTTCAAACCCCAACCATACAACAAGCTCAACTTCCTAGGATTTTTAAGGATCCCAATCAACAGTTTCTTCTGAAAACCACAGCGAGGTTGCCATTTGCAAACATATACGACCTCAAACGTACCACCCTTCTCCAAAAGTTTACGACAATTCTTTAGTCGCAATACATCTAGCCCGAACTTCAAGTTTTGACTCTCCGAAAGCCTTAATCAACTTATGCCACAGGGGGAACCAAACATTACCACCGTCTGTACATACTTGACTCAGAAGTCTAGCCTCATCCTTACTCTGTTCCAGGAGGCGATAGAAGTCAAAGGTCCACTCTACGGCACCCTCCCGAAGAAATGTAACGGGAGTTATCCTACTATCAGCCACCGAAGGACCCTTTCCCTTACCCCTCAAACGTTCCCTCTTGCCCGGTTTACTCTTCGTGCGTCTCTTCCCCTTGGTCTTGTTGGTTCCTTACGTATTTAAGAATGGTGACCATTTCTTAATATATGCGAGTTCCAATTTGCCAAGGTCCTGACCACCTAGTAATTACCGGGCCAAAATTCACGAGCCAAAGGTGAAAATGTGATTTAGAGCATTTCCGACAGATGTACAAATGTTCCCTCCACCTAACCGTTGTATTACGTGAGGTTTTCCCAAAGTATGTATGCTTACAAAATGGAGAGACGGCCACATATACACAATCCGATAGGTTCACAAAATCCACCCCATGCTTATTGTACAGTTCCAACCAATTACACACGAACTTATCAAGCCACTTAACTGCCTTATTAACAGCTAAAAGCAGAATCATAGTTACGAACAGGGCATCAATCCGACTATCAGACTGGACAGTGTTACATAGCCACCTCGCAAGAAATCGACAGATAGCCCACAGCTGAGGCACTCGTAAGTCTCATTAGTGTGTTGCGTCGTCCCCATTATCGTTATTCTCCGGTCCGACAGCTTCCAAGTCTTCGATGTTGATGGTTTCAAGTTGCAGCTCAGGTGCCACGTCAACCTGAAACTTCAGGTAAGTACGATGGTCAGCGATAACAAATATCGCATCCACCTTGCCATCGTACGACACCCCTTCCTCCCAGCAGATACGTTGCAGTTCGCGAGCATCCAGTAGCTTCAGCTCCTGCATTATCATGTTGCGGTACTTGTAGCGCGCCAGCGATCCCTTCACGTCCGGAGTCTCAATTCCAGTAGTAAGTGGCATCACCTTTTTCTTACGCGCCGACAAAGGTGTGCGCACCGGAGTTTTTCGCTTCGCTGATCAAGGCGACTTCACCATCTTTGCACGTGCTCGTGCCAACCTCCCGGTAAATGCTGCTGGCTTCCGTCCATATTTTGGTGTTCGTTTTGCCGGCGATTTCATCGGAGGACTATTCCCAATCGCCTTGTCCGGACCTCGCTTACGCTTGTCGGAAATAACCAAGTCGGCGGTTCTCGCACTCAAGTCCTGGGTGATGGTCGCCTCGCTTTCGCTACTGCTACCGTTGTACGCCAGCTCTCACTTCGTCTCCTTACCTTTTTCGTTGGGCAACTTACCCAGCCCCAAATTATTATTCAATTTCACATCGATAACTGAAAAACAAAAATTTGAAACAAAAGAAAATACTTTTTATAAAAAATAAATTCGCTTAAAAAACCTTGCAAGAATACAAGGCAATCAAACAACAAAAAATAATAAGATATTAAATAATGAAAATAACTTGCCAATAATAAAACATAAAAGATTAAAGATGATCGCAAGAACACAAAATTTGCAAAATTATAAAAATTATGAAGCATTTGAAAATATTGATTATGAAAAAATCAAAAGAGAAATATTAAATATATTACAAGAAGAAATGAGTTTCGAAGGTTTACAAGAATCTGTTTGTTGAACTCGAACTTAAGAATAAAATATATAAACCCACAACTAAAGACCAACAAATAATAGACAAAATTATATAATTTTTAAGAACTCCAGAAGAAAATCTTCACAAAGTTATAAAAGAATATTATGATTGTACCTACGTAGCACCGTGTTTGCGTTCTGAGGGGAACGCGAACATGTTCGCCCGAACGCGAACAAGCGTCCAAATGTCTCCAAACGCGAACATAAAAAAAAAGAAAAAACTGTCTGAAAAATCTGAAAAAAATATATGTTATGTAAAATAACAATACAAGAAACTTTTGTCTTTGAGTCATGTTCAAATTCGTAGCCAATTCGCTGCGACTGATCAGTGCCTAAGGGCAGGGTCTCAACTTTTCAACTTCTCAGATTAGGAACTATTGTTATCTCGGATCTTAGGTGGAGTTGTGCAAATTTGCAATCATGGATAGTTGTTGAGTTGTAATGTGTGAGTTTGGAGTGTGGCCGTCGTTTGTAGTAGTCATAAACATCAGCTAGGACTACAGAATGAATGTAGACAGGGTTGTAAAATGGAGGTAGACAGAGCGACAATGATTGAGGCTATCTTTTAGGTTGTTGTCGTCGGTTGTAGTAGGGTCTATCCGGGCGTAAGTAGGCCTGGTGCTATTGTCGGAGTTTCGGATCGGTGTAATGGGCCCCTTAATTTTGGTTAGCTTTTCCGATCTGAGTGTAGTAGGTCTCTCGGGGAGAATATGGCCTCAGAGCATTTTTTGTGATTCCAGGTAGGTGGTACGAGACCCTTAGGCAGAATTGGTCTAAGCGCCAGGGTACCGGTGCGATTTTGGGAGCAATAGACTATAATAGGAGCAAAGTCATCGTGGTAGTTCCTTCAGGTTCTGGAGTTGTCCCCCGTCCGCTAAGTCTGGACGATGTGGACGGGTTCAACTATAGTGAGAGAGTTGGAATGGACAGCGGTTTCTGGGAGTTATGGAATTGTTCGCAGTTAATTACCTATCGAGTTACTGTGTATGACTTTGGCTTTTGTGTGGTTTGGGCGCACTCACGCCTCATGTATGCTGCACTGCTTAGTAATTCTCACATTCTCATGTATAACGCTAGCGTGAACTCCGCTGGAGATGACATGACGGTGATGAGTGAGTGCCATATCGTGGACTACGGGGAACTTGAGTTACTAGTGTGTGCTAAGCTTCGGACGACGGGGGCGTAACGAGTGGACAAACGTACGCTTCATCAAGGGGACTGGATGTCGAATCCGGAGAGATACGAGCATGGTAGGGATGTACTTGGTATGGATGATCGGGCGCACGAGGATCGGGAGCGGGATATCCGTGCGGAGGATCACGATCGTAATGATAGAAGACGAGGACCTACATGCTTTAATTGTAACGAGATAGGCCATTATGCCAATCAGTTGTCGTGGCCTAGGAGGTATGGGGGCGCGGCGCGCCCGTCAACATCCACAGATTCCCTAAGGTAAATGTCCCCACGACGCGGGGATTGGAGACGGGAACCAATCACGCAGTTGGATCAGGGGGTGACCCAGCAGATCAGTGAGCTGGGTAGAAGCGTCGCGACCATGAAGCAACACTTTGAGGAGGAATGGACACGTAAGGAGAACTGTATAAGGCGGAAGCAGGAGAAGGAGGAGGAGAAGCGACGTGAAGAGGAGATGCGGATCCGTGAAGCAGAGGAAAGGGCGATTCAAGTGAAGAAGGCCAGGAAGAAGGAAAGACGAAGGCGGGAAGCGGAAAGCCGCGCAAAATTGAAGAAGGATTTGAGCATGCAAATGGTGATGCAACTTAGCGAGTTGGAAGACAAGTTTGTGCACCGCATATATTTTTTAATTTCAATTGATAGTTCTTGTTTTATTTTTTTCTTTTTTCGTGCCTCTTTGTGCTGCTCGGCGTTTTTTTCCATTCGATTACGACGTTGATGCTCCGTTTCATTTTGCCGATGAGCTGTTTCTCGATCTCGCTTTCGTTGTAATCGTTGCTTTTGATTCTTTATATTTGCAACAATCTTTTGCTCCATTGGAAGCTGTTGTTTCACAACAAACAATTATTAAAAAACTTTATCAGAAATAAGTATAAAACTATTTCTAAAGGTTATGTTTTAAGAAAACAAATAAAATTGGAGAAATTAAAATTATAAAAGTGGAAAAAATAAAGAGAGAAAAAAAAAAAAAAGATAGAGATGAGGAAAAAAAAAACTTACTAATAATTGATGAGTTTACATACAAGTATTGTAATTATCAAGCGCTAGACAGTTGCAAAATGTTGCGGTTGTAAAAGTGAGAAAAAAATTGCAAAATAAAAGTAATGAAGTATGAAAGGAACTAATAATTTCATGATGACTATTTAATATAATGTTTGATATTGTTATTATCTACTTATTATAGGACTTAATGTATTGAAAATCATGTTTTAGTTGTCTGTTTTTATTATTATTACCGCATCTAAGGAAGAGTGTAAAAAAGTTTGTATTAATGGATCATATGCTCTTTTGTTTTTGTTATTTAATCTAAAAAGTGGATTGTAATTCCATTTGTCTATACAAAAATTGATTGAGAAAGTTTGTTTATCATTTATTTGTGCCGTTGTATCATGTAGCTTGACATTTGATTTGTGATCATAAAATGATTGTTGCATATCGTTGTTTATTGATGTCGATGTTTGACTTATAGCCATTTTGTCAGAAGTTTCAAACTTTTGTTTTTAATAATCAAATAACCAAAATGCGATAACTTGACACAGACGCCGAACCCCAGTAGACCGTAGCCTTAGGGCTGCGAACTCCCTGCCGGTGTCCATGCGCAAAGCTGAGGATTTGAACCTGCAACCCCAAACCACAATGCGCATTTCCAACCGGTTCTCTAACCAGGGAGCTGCCCGGGGTGTTCCGCCTGTGGCGGAAGCTCCAAGTTCCAATTTCCCACCCTGTGGCAACTCTGGCATTTTGGAAATTCCCGTGGCTATTAGTGGCAACTGGGGGCTGTTTCTCTGTTCGCGCGCGGAAAGAACCGATACCAGGTATAAGTGGATGCGAGATGTTTGGGAAAAGGGTCTTTTTTCTTTCCAGGGGCATTGATCTGTCCATAGTCCGAACCAATCCACTACAAAGGGTTGGCCTACCTGGGCGGGCTTTCGGCAATCACGAACCTGGCTCGAAACTGGTCAAATTCGTCAATTGCAGTGCCATAGGTTCGCCCCGGAACGGATAGCAACAGAGGCAGAACATTCCCGAACCTCTTTGGGTGCGAAGTGGTTGGTTTTCCAGGAACACCTGGCCAGATCTGTGGGCGGGCGCGCACGTGCACGCGCACGCGCGCGCGCGCTCGCAGTTGATTGACGAAGTGGAGAGTCAGGCGCGCCGTCGTCCGAATCTCTCGCGGCGGCCAGCTACCGGAAGCGCCTCGGTTGTCTGCGGTCGGCGTTTCCGAGGGGGTGTCCAGCGCTGTCGCTGGTGTCCGCCGCCGCCATTTGCGCGCGCGATTGCGACAGCAGCGCAGCTGAGACTCCGCTTCGTCCAGCCTGCTGCTCCGCTCTGTTGCGCACTTGCGGAGAGATCCACACCTGCGTAGCTAGACTTCATCGCTCTCTCTCTCTGTCTCTCTCTCTCTCTCTCCGTGTCTCTCTCTGTTGGACTCTTCCCTGGGGAGAAGGCTTGGAGGGTAGGTGCAAAGGACCGGCGGAAGGCAGAGAAAGTGAGGGGAAGAGAGAGAGAGAAAAGAGGAGGAAGAGCGGGGGAAAGGGAGGGAGGGTGTGTGTGCAAGCAGCACGAGAGGAGTAGCAGGAAGAGAGGAGGAGGAGGAGGAGGAGGAGGAGGAGGAAGAGGAGCAAAGGAGGAGGGGTAATCGAAGTTCGGACTTGAGCAATGAGTGCGGCGGCGGGGAGCTCGAAGCCGGAGTATTGGGCAATGGCAACCTTAGGCCTTGTGCAAGATTGCACGGCGTATAAGAAGACGAAGCGAGCGACCAGTAATATCTTGCGGGCGACCCAGAAATCTATTCGAGGGACCGGTCGTGCGGCATGGATCGCCGGGACCTCCTTTTTGGTACTGGTCCTTCCTCTCTTGATAGAGATGGACCGCGAGCAGCAACTGGTCGATATGGAGAATCAGCAGGCCTCGCTTCTGGTTGGCCAAACGTCAACAACGACTAAGTAGTGATGACGATGCAGCCCCCGCCGCCTCCTACTTCCTTTCCTGTTACAGACTTTTATCTAGCCATTCAACCTTGGATTTCCTATTATGGCAATCAATCCATGGCACCACCTGCTAATCCATCCATCCATCCCCATCCATCCTTCTCCCCACGTACCCACCTACCCACCACCCACCC